GAGCTTTTCCTAAAATGTATCGTTTGTCAATACTTTTATAGCTTTAACAGCTGCCCAACACTCTTTTTGTACAGCTCAGGGCGAGCATCTTTAGCATAGCTCATTTCTGCTTTGGGCCTTGCCCTGGCAAGACATCTTATATATCTCTCCTTTTGATTAATTTTTGTTTGTGTGATTGTTTTTTTTTTTTATTTATTTTATTTTATTTTAATTGGTATTTTGATTGTCATAAACTTTTTGTTTCGTCTCGAGCTCTCCCCAGTTCGGAAGCGTTTTACAGATTCGTTCTTAACTTTTTGTTTCGTCTCGAGCTCTTTCCCATGCGGACGTGCTTTTACTTTTTTACTTTTCTCAACTGTTTATTCTTTTCAAAAAAGTATAAATTCTACAAATTTCGTTTTATTCAAATTTGTCGGAGTAATTGATAAATTTATTCTAAGCCTATCATTTCATCTCGAGCTGTTTCCGATTCGGACCTTTTGTTTCGTCTCGGGCTCTTTCCGATTCGAAGATTCTCATAATCGTCCTAAACTTTTTATTTTGTCTCAAGGCTAGGAAAAGTTTAATACATTCGTCTACAACTTTCCAGGCCTCTTTTTTTTGCATTTCCCGTGATGCTAAGCATACAATTTTATTTCTAAACTGTAAACTGGCTATAACCCAAATTTCTGAAGAAAGCTCGTTTTCTACTTAAATTTGAATTTTCAAACCTATTTTGTGGTATTTTTGTTTTCGAATGACTACTATCTTTCACTTTGCAAGCAACCCATATCCCAGGCTTAACCACCAGTAAAAAACAAATTTTTTTCTTAATTTTTAAAAATATTTGTAAACGGGTATAACATACTAACATACGATTCCTGAAGAATCTATAACATACTAACATACGATTCCTGAAGAGAGCTCCTCTTCTACTTAAACTTGTAATTTCAAACCAATTTTTTTTGTATCTTTGTTTCCGGATGACTTCTATCTTTCAATTTGCATGTAACTCTTGTAACTCTGCCCAAATATATATATATATATATATACTCCAAATCTGTAAGCTGTGAGGATATATAAACCAGTAAGCCGCATAAAGATTTATATTTTAACATTTTTACGTTTATCTGTTTTCCCTCGATTCGAATATTTTTATTTTGGCTTGTCATTGAGACTACAACAACAGCAAGACGCAGCTGCTAATGATGCTGCCAGTTTGTCTGGCCGGCAAGAAAAAAGGGGCTTGCAACACTGCATGCATTCACATGTATATGTACACGCACGCACACACACACACACACACACACACACACACATGCGCACACCCAAGTATATGTAGGTGTGCGTAGGTGTGCGACTACCTGCAGCAGAAATATTTATCGATCTTGGCTGCAGTCGAGGCATGTTATGAAAAATTTACTTTCGTTACAACGGGGCGCACTTTGGGCGAGGACGTCATGAAGTCTGAGCCGAGGCAGACGGCCTGGTTGGTTGCTGTGTCAAATCGGGATCCTGCGCTTTGGGCTGTGCCTGGGTATTGGGCCCTTGACACAGCATGTGGCCAACCGACTTTCGATAGTAGGCATGGGGTGTGCAGGGAGCGACGCATACGTTATTTTTATAATTTTTATGGCCTGGTCAGGTATTTTTTTGTCGACGGCGCGCAGTGAATGGGCCCGGAGAGCCTGTTTGTGCCATCGTAAACTCCTGATGAACCTCATAAATAATATGTATTTCGATTTTTATGCGTGTCGTTTCACACTTCACATACGCATACACACACACACACACACACACACAGAACGGACCAGTTCCATAAAACCCATGTCAAAGAAGTTAACATACAACTCGATCGCCTATTGCGTAGTCAATGAAAATATTGGATTAAAATTGGGCTTCGATTTAAATCTTCGGCTTTTCCAAGGCGACGCCTACTAAACACAGCATTCTTTTAATTTTTTTTTTCGTGAGGTAATTTTCCCAAATGTCACCTTATATGGATAAATAAAATTTGGACAGCGCCCTGCGTAACCCCCGTGGAGTTCACCAGCTGCGCTGCTGTCCCTGTCTTTGCCTGGATTCTTAACATATTTATTTCGTGTCGCAGTCACAGCAAAAGATCAAAGTCTGCTTTAAGATCTTGTTACTTAAATTTGTAATGTAAATCAAAAGCAATCTGAAGATTGAGTGTCTGGTTAAAGTATTAATGCGACTTCAAACCTATTTCCTACGGATTATGTACCAAATTGCTTTAGATAATGCTTGGCAATATATATGCGCCTAATAATGTCTCGCTAAAACTGGGATTTGTATAATCAAAAAATAAAGGAAGTTTTGCAAATAGTGGACACGTATAAAATGGTTAAAACAGATTTAAGTTTTCTCTTATTTTTTGACGTGTTTAATATTGTTTTCTCTACAGCAATTTGTACTTTTAGCTTATTTGTTTTTAACATCTGCCTTTTTTAAGCCTTTTCCGGCTTTTATCGCAAATAAAGCATTTGATCTGTAAAAACTAAGCTAAAAACCAGCTTCAAAACTAATGAAGGGTTTGGTAATATCCCTTAATGGCATATCAATGACATGTAAGGCAACACTTCGACCATAGCTTAGGGCCGATGCGAGCTTTCTAGTTGCATTTCATTAAACATGTCATATTTTGAAGAGAAATAAAATAAAAAGCCAACAACTATAAAATCGGTACCGTTATAAGTACCACACAGTTTCCCAAAATGAAATCGAGTTCAAGGCAATATCTAAGTCATCGCACATCATAAAAGTTGATCATAAAACCTGGCGACATAAAAAATAAAAGCTCAACTCCATAGATTATCATTAAAAGCAATATCTTTTGAAATTTGGAACCAGTCAACAGAGAAAAGTTCAGTGTGGACCACCAAGATGGATCTTTCTAGCTGATAGTAGACCATTCTAAGTAGCATATTGTTGTCGAGATTTAGAAACAAATTACAAAATTACGCTAAACGCAACCTCTTTGCAAAGGTAGCGGCTTTAACGATCAATAATGTCACATAAGTCAACGATTAAAGTGCCGTAGTCGATTCAAAGATGGGTTTTATGAGCATCCGAGGCTCTTCGTTTCTTTTTCACTGGGTCATAAAATGTTTGTAGGGCAAGGGATTGATCAACGAACGCTGGTCCCAGCCACAGTCACAACTCGCTTGAGCGATCGTCTGTCAGTTTTGAGACAGGTGCGAAATTTTAATGTGTCTTCAAACTTTGAAACCAGCTCTGCATTAGTTGTGGGGCTCTTTTCAGATATGATTTTACGACTGTTGTATTCTCGTTTTTTACGATGGCACAACGAATCGTTTAGCGATGAAGACACACAGCCGAAAGACCCCACCCGAAAGAGTCAAAACATGCTGAGGAGCTGCTGAGTGTGCAACTTCAAGATACCCTATGCTGAGCAAAAACAATTGGCAAATGCTGAAATCACATTAAAACTCTCAGAGCTTGTCAGAGAATTTGGTAAATGTAACGAATAATTTTATATTTCATTCTACTTAAAAGTGTTGAAATGTTTAAAGTAATTCTCAGCCTTAATTAAAACTCTATTACTATGAATAAAATATTAGGACATGGCGAATCGAGTTTTTAAGGAAAGCTCAAAGCTTATGAACTTGCGCTTAATATACCCACTTAAACTGCATCCACGGTCTACAATATTATGCAAATCAATAAAGTTCTAATTCTTTTTTTGGCAAGAATTTGTTTTTGTGCTCGTAAAATCAAACGAAATACACAACAGATTATCAGGAATATGCAAGCAGGTTTTTCAGTATTTCAATACAAAGAGACTGTTTTTATGATCAACGGCTATAAAAATATTATCAAATTAAATTCCAATTATATGAATCGAATATTATGTTTGAATTTGTAAGTTCAACTCGTAAAGTTTGCTTATCGTAAAGCCTGAGCTCGAACCACGTATTAAAATCAATTCCAGAACACAATAAAAAAAAAACATATATTATTTTTATTTTTCTCTTTTTAATAATGTTGACCACACACACAACGGGCAGACACAAGTAGCTGTAAGAAGAAAATCTTAGACTTTTTATGGTTTTTATATTATGATCTATTAGGAGCCATTAGCTGATAAGACGCTGCTCGAGTTTATAGCTAGACAGGTCTTAAGTGCGGTCCAAATTTATTATGGGAACACTAAAAAAATGTAAAGTCAAGAGTGCATATTTTTGTTGAGATGAAAGTTTTGTACTTGCCATTTTCTACTCCTCGCACACTTGACGCCTCGCTGTCTAGACCTTCCCAGACACAGAGCCTGCGGGCGAAGATCTGCCAAAGGTAAATTTTTACCATCTAGTCAGTGCGAACTCATGCAGTTAGCTCCCGCCAGCCTCAACGCGACTCATCACGAATCGCCACTGTGCTCAGGCAGCGGAAGATGAAGGCCGAGCACAGTTTGAGGCCAATGCGATTGCAAATTTGATCCGGGAAAGATTTTTACGAATTTGTAGTAGACAGCTAGACGCCCCGCTTAAAATGAGTCGAGGCTGCAGTTTCGATGCGCTGCATGGGGTTGCATGCCACAGTTGCAGTTGCAGTTGCAGTTGATGTTGCAGGTGTGCGTGCGTGCAGCAGGAATTTCAAGAGTTGAGCCGCGTCATGTTGTCTGGCAGGGTTTCGCTTGATTTTGTGAAAGTCATGGCCATGACTCTCTAATGATGCCAGCAACGAAATGTCATTAGTTTTGCACAGTGCCCATTTGAAGTGAGCCGCAATTTTGAAGGGTTGCAATTGCCTTTGATTTCAAGGCTAACAGAATATAGAAATGAGCGGGGGAGCATAGCTCCGAATGGGTGTTAAAAACTATCACGTAGCAGCTGCATACCCACAATATCAGTTTGATTAATTTAGAGACATATTGAAACTACAATTTAACTTAAATATAAAAATTATAATTAATTATAACATTTTAAGAGTAGTAGAGTATAAAGATATATGTGAATATTCAAATTTCTATATTATTACAGATGAAGGATGTGAAAACTTTCTGGACTAAAAACTAATTTGTTTAACAACTCAACAACTTTTGTCCGAAAATAAAACAGGTATTACAACTATTTAAAAAATTATATTTTTTAATTACGTGTATTGCTTAAAAAAATGTTGGCACGAGTTATATATGTATATATTTTTCCAGTTTCAATTTTTATTAACAATCTATCTGGCGATAATAAGTAAATTATATGGTATAAATATTTGCATGAGGCTTATGTGTGTGTTGGCAAAGGCGGCCTAAGGCAGGTCAAGTGGGTGGTGGCTTTTAAGGCGTCGGAGGCGCAGGCTGTTATCGAGGAGGTTTAAAGCTAGGTGGCTGTCCAGTCGGTCTGTGTGCTTCAGGCTTTTACGATTCACTTCTTCGGTGACGGTTGGGATGTTGAGGAATGACCTTGTATAGAAGCACTTTGTTTCTCAACCTTAGCTGCGATCTGTACCCAAAGAGCCAGTTCATCATCACATTGGATTAAGTAAAAATCATCAAAGACGTTTTGATTTTCGAACCGACTCCGATTTTTAGAAAAACGTGATGTAACCCCTTGCTCTTTCTTCGATTTGGGTCTAAATTTAGATTTTCATTTTTTTTGGTGCCCATCGATAATACTGATCCTTACGATCCAAAATATTATAAAATTCCAAAATCGGACATTATTTGGCCGAGATATTCCAAAAAATCATCAAAGAAGGGGGAATTTACAAACGAATCGTTTTTTGGTCAACAACTTTTTTTAACCCATCGATTTTTAATTTGTTTGAATGCCAATTGATAGTAGGGATCCGTACAAATTCAAAAAGGTATAACATTTCAAAATCAGCCGATATTTACCAGAGATATTCAAAAAAAAAATATCAAAAAAGTTCTGATTTTCGAACCGACCCCGATTTTTAGAAAAAAACGTGATGTAACCCCTTGCTTTTTGACCGATTTGGGTAAAAATTTAGATTTTTATATTTTTGATGCCAATCGATAATACTGATCTTTACGAGTTTAAAATATTATAAAATTCCAAAATCGGACATTATTCGGCCGAGATATCCAAAAAAATCATCAAAGAAGGTTGACTTTACAAACGAATCGTTTTTCGGTCAACAACTTTTTTTAACCCATCGATTGTTGATTTGTTTGAATGCCAGTTGATAGTAGGGATCCGTACACTTTTAAAAAGGTATAACATTTCAAAATCAGCCGATATTTACCAAAGATATTAAAAAAAAAAGCATCAAAAAAGTTTTGATTTTCGTACCGACCCCGATTTTTAGAAAAAGCGTGATGTAACCCCTTGCTTTTTACTCGATTTGGGTCAAAATTTAGATTTTAAAATTTTTAATGACAGTTGATGGTACTGATCCTTACGAGTCCAAAATGGTATATAATATCAAAATTTAACGATATTTGGCCGAGATATTCCAAAAAATCAAAGAAGGTTGACTTTACAAATGAATCGGTTTTTGGTCAACCAGTTTTTTTAACCCATCGATTTTTAATGCAATTTTAATGCAATTTCTTGAATGCCAATTGATAGTAGGGATCCGTACGAATTCAAATAGGTATAACATTTCAAAATCAGCCGATATTTACCCGAGATATTAAAAAAAAAGCATCAAAGAAGTTCTGATTTTCTAACCAACCCCGATTTTGAATTTAAATAATAGTATTCAAAGAGTATTTTAATATCTTAGTATTGCATTTTTAATCTAACCATCTGGCTGTACTTCTCGCAGATAACTGCCCTAAGAAAATAACGAGAGGAAGTCTAAGCTGAGCAGATCTATTGCCTAAATATGTTGCACTATAACCATCATATGAAAACTTTCCCTTTATATACGCAAGACTCCCAAGTATTTGTAATTTTCTATCTACATTTTTGACCAGCCAAATTAAATACAATCCCAAAACTCTTTATACACATTTCCCATTTGAAAATATTCATATCAGTCTGCTAACCAGATGAAGAATCTCGTCGACTCTGTGCGTTTTACCAAATGATATCACACTTGAGTCTTGGCCAAAGGGTCAGTTCATTCACAGCTGCTGTCAGCTAACAACTTTATAAGTAAAATTTATGGCCAACTTTGGAACTCAACAAAACAGTTGGAAAAAATCGAAACGGTAGAGCGAAGAATTTCTCGCCTAATGATGGCAACCTGTCTGGGGGATTAAGATTTTATACAATCTTATATCTTGTTGCGACTGACTGACTATTCCATTGTTCGGGCCGATGATGCCCCGGGTTCATTTAAAATCATAATTTGCTTATAATTGACATACTATTTAATTTTCATATAAATAAAAGACATACAATGACAGGGCCGTCAACATTTTGGGCTATAAACACGTTGAATTATGCTTTATCTGGATCGATGAAGATTGTTATGGAAATATGTGCTCCGTGACGCTCTGCAGGTGCTCCGATGCTTCACTCTAAATCAAGTTTCTTTCGCTTATCTAACGCACCCTGTAAAATATGTAAATTTTTCGATGGAAAAGCATTAAAAAGCGTATCTTGTTTTAGCTAGATATAACCGATTTATGACTCCTTATTTGCTTTTCGCAATTCATTAGCCTAAAGTGTCAATTTTGTATAAGTTTAGAAATTTAAATTCAAATTCATATGCACGAGTTGTCATAAACCTGGATGCGATCTATTTTTCATTTTAGTTCTTTGGTTTGTCATTTTGATTCGATTGATAGTACGATTAAAATATAATTGATATAAATTTATTTACTTTAAGTTTTGCTAAAATATAAGCTGAGCTTTCAAATGTAATGTTACCGCAAAGAACGTAACGGAGTATCTGTCAGTCAAGCAGCCCCGACACTGGCGCCATAATTTATTTAATACCGAACTTTAAGGTCGTATTTATTTTATTGCTGAAAGCTTTTATATGCCAAGTATTAGAAATCTAGAATGACAAGTTCTTCGCCGATCTTCAAAGTTGAACTTTATCAATGGCAACAAATATCAAATTGTTAAATATGTTTAGTCTATTAGCCGATGATATTAAGTGGTATCGAACTATAAAAACAAAATTATAAAAAACTATATCCATATTACGTTTAAATGAATGAAATCAAGTTGAATAAAAATAAACAGAATGTATAAATATTTATGTGTGATCAAATATCGGCATAATTATTTAAAGCTTGTTATGAATGACAATTTTGTATTTATAGAACTCTTTTTCATACATTTTTTTCTTTTGACCGATCATTTATGGTAAAAATGTGTAGAATTTATGAATAAAATTCTTTTGGTGTTTCACTTCTGGAAATTTACCGGATTTGAAAAAGTCGATATAAAAACAAGAAAGCGCATAGGTTACCTTTTAATGCTATTTATTTTTTTGTATTATAATAAAATTCTCATTTTGACGCGCGCTTATGCATTCTAAGAATACAATTCTAAATTTCTAAAACTATATGCGAAGAACAACATCTGAGTTTACAATTTTACAACATTTTAATTTTGATTTTTTGATGTGTGCAGAACACTCTTTTATCATTTTTTTTTTAAATACCTGGTCCTGAAAAACTTAAAAGTTGTAGGTCTCGAAAGGCCAAACTTTATTTTCGCTAAGCCAGTTTTCGTGTGGCAGTCCCCCCAACTGTAAACGCTTAGAGTATCGAAAATTCCTGTGATATCATATTTTGTTGCAATTTTATACTTTTCTACCGTTCCTGCAGATTGCCAATACATTAACACTTTTTTATGCTAGCCATGCGGGTGGTTGGCAATTTTTTCGCATCATTTGTTGCCCTGGACTGGGCAGATGTCGTGGATGGTGGAGGGGGCACGTCGCCGGTGGCGACACCCGCAGCTGAGATGCTACATTAGAGCTGCCAGTCCGAGCCCAGGAGCGGCAATGTAGCATAAGCTCGCGCATCATTGATTTCAATTTGAAGCGCCGACTCGTCGTCGTCGCCGTCGTCGTCGCTGTCTTGGCCGCAGGACGGGCGTGCGAGTAGTCCAGGGCCAACTATCAGTATTAAATGTTATGTGGCAACAACGTCCGCTGCATGCCGCGTCGTGTCCGTGCCCGTGCCGTGTCCGTGCGTTATCTGTTTCCGCAACATGATGTTGCCGATGATGATGATGATGCTGATGCTGTGTGAGGGCTGTGTGAGGGGGCAAGCACAGGAGCAGGACTGAGGCTGTTTTTGCTGCTGATAATGATTATTGAAGTTGTGGCTCTGATTTTTGCACACACCAGACTGTGCATGTGTGTGTATTTATGATATATGTATGTGTGTGATTTGGTCCAGCTAAAAATTTCAACGCATAAAAATATCTTGGCTGCTGTTCCCACCCCATACGCCACTCCCGCTTCTGCTGTCGACGACACTGTGAGCAAGATGGACTTCCGGTTTCCTGTTTCCGTCTGTCGAAGTTCTTTACTTTTTTCAATGCTTCGACACACACACACACAAACACAGCAGCAGCAACAGCATCAGCATCAGCATCAGCACCCTGACATATGTATACATATATATATGTGCAATTTTTTATATCGCACTTGCTGTTGTTGCTCTTGTGTTAGTGGGCGTGGCATGTGTGTATAGCTTGTGGTGTGGCATTGGTTTGCCATAGACTATAGACCATCGCCCATCACCCATAGCCCATCCACATCAATGTTTGATGTGTCAGCAGCCACTGGCCAGGCGGGCGGGGGGTTTGCTGCTGCAGTGGGTTAGGGGCAGCTTCTTGTTGGAGGTGGTATGCCTGGGGGGTGTGAGCATCGCTTGGGCCGCACATTTAGCGCAAAGTTTTATAATAAATCGATAAGCAGCAAAGCGCTCAAAAGGGGCAGCTAAATCTGAGCTAGGATTTCCCTTTTCCTTGCCGTTGTTGTTGTTGTTGATTTTTCTATTTTCTCATTCAGCTGCTGCCTTTGCACCAACTTTAAGGCTTTGTTCGATTTCAAGCTGCATTTTAAAGGCTGAGCTGGGATTTTCAAGTGGGCAAGCCGTTAGCTTCACTTCATCCTAAAGACCAGTTAAATAATAGGGTGAATAGTTGTTTTTTTAGTCATGTGAAAAGATAACTATATA